CCCTAATCACACATGGCCTCCTGGATTTGGGGAGGGCTAAAGTATACAATCCGGGGAAGGCTAGGAAGAGAAAGCATGGCCCATGCTGAGTAAAGGCTTTCCAGTGTACATACCCTCAGGTCACTCATACACCGCAGTAACCCCTCAGTTATCCTGGTAAGTAAGCTCAATAGATTCATTGGTTCCCCAGTAAAACTTTAATCAAACATTGTCTTGACCCTAGAATTTCGAAAGGGAATAAGCATTGCTTAGCATCCCCAAGAAAAGAAGTCACACAACAAATGAAAAATTTGTTAATGCTATTATGTCTCATAATTATTTTTTTAAAAAAAGAAAATGAGAATGTAAACGATGTTAAAAGAATATGGGAATGGAGATATTTTCCACAATAGACAGAAAAAATGAGAAAGCCTAAGCAAGTGATGAATGTCTGTTTAGGTTTGTTATGATATATAAAGGATGAGACAAAGATAATATACACATAATCTTAAAATTTCTAAGGCCATAGTTTAGTCAACTAGTTTAAGGAACAAAATATAGATCTAGTCAAGATTTATCTGAGAATATTTGGATTTTTACCCAAGCTTTATCTGCATAGCACATGATAATTAAAAGTACCAGAGTGGTGGAACTAACCTTATCAGATGTTCAACAGCCATACTTTGAGGCCTATACTAATCTGGTCAGAGGGACTTAAAGGACAGTTTTTGCCCCTTGCCCTCCAAGGTTGACTAAGTTCCATCTCTCAAAATGTCCCGTAACTATGGTGAGTCACCTGTCCTCTTATTCAAGGAGGACGTGGAGACCCCAGGAGATGGACTTGAACCAGTGTCCAGTCTACAAAGAGGAGGTCAGCTCAGAGGAAACATCTCATTCATGCTTCCAAGTGAAGCCATATATAGTTGAGCAGGACCTTTAATTTATCTTCACATAGATGGAACTGGTAAAAGAAAGGAGCCAGGGGCTCCTCCCAAGCCCATGTGCCCCCTGAGGAACAGATCCTCAAACAACCTTAAGTGCAAAAATAAATGGATTTATTTGGGCCAACTGTATGGTCTTAAACACCCAAAAGGAAAGTATAACCAAAGAGTAAAGTCATCAGTATACTTCTTTAAGAGTTCAAGGGATTACACTTCCCAGACATTAGGCTTAAGTCCATATAAAAAGTTATTTAGACA